GGCACGCAACAGTAAGCAGCAGAAACAGCAGTAAGTAACAACAGCAGCAAACAGCTGCAAACAGCATCAAGCAGCAATAGCAAGCAGCAATAGCAGCAGAACCAGTCAGCACCAGCAAGAAACAACCGCAGGCAGCAGCGGCAAATAGCAGCAGCACGCATCATGAAGCACAAGCAAGAAGCAGCACCGAGCAGCAGCAGCAGGGCGCAGCTACATCACGGAGCAACAACGAGCAGCAAAAGCAAGCAGTAATGACAAACAGCGGCAGCAAGTAGCAGCAACAGGCTGCAGAAGTGAGACGCCCCTGGATGCTTGGTGGCCTCTGCACTTTCGAGCCTGGAAACGCAGTTCCTCCCTTTCCTAGGTGTTACTCTCAGATGTTACTTCATCGCCTCAGCAAATGCTGGAAGGCTGGTTGAAAACTCCCATGCAACGAAAACAATTTGAGCCAGCTGCTGCTGCAGTATTTGCTTTGGATGCTTCAATTGAAAATGCTGCAGCTTCTAAAATTTGTCCTGCCGCTGCTGATGCTTCAGCTGATGCTGCATCACCAACCGTTTCCCTTTGCCAGCTCTGCTCTTCCAGGAGGGGCAGCATCAGCAGCAGCTGGAGAAGAAGGTGCGGCTCATGACGCTTTCCCACGTCGGAGTCTGTGGAGTTTGGGATGAGTTGCACCTATTGGGAAGCCTCGAAAATGCTGCCATCAGACTTATTCTGGTGACCCAGTACTCTAGGCCCAAAATTGTAAGGCAATTCTTTGGATCTAGCGCCTCCTTGTAGCCTTGTCTTTTGATTCCTATCAACTGCTGTAAAGCCAGACGGATTTAGACGAAATTGGGAACTGTAAAACTATTGGGAACTGCAAAACTGAAGACTGTGGGTGTTTTTAAACCCAGCATCAGCCCTGTAGTGACATTACAGGATGCTACTAGAATGTCATTAACGCATGTACACGGATGATGGATGCTGTTGCGTGCTTTTGTTTGGTACGGATGCATGTACACGGATGATGGATGCTGTTGCGTGATTCTGTTTGCTGCGCGTCTTTTAAGGTGAACTAAGGCGAACTCCAGACAGGTAGTACGTGGGTTTCGAGTTAAATGCCCAACGCCGCTGTTCAGTGGGTCACCGTTCCACGTACACTGTTCGAGCTCCTTTGCTTTTTGCACAAGCTTTCCCTCCAGTCCCTGATAAAGTTTCTTTTGAGATTTCCTGTCTGGCGAGTAGCTTAAGCTTTGAATATCATGTACCGCTTGAAAGAAGTTACCTTGTGTTCACTCCACTATTTGACCTTGATCTTTAGTTTACGAGGCAGGCTGCGCGCTGATCAGTGTGTCCTGCATGAGAATATGGCTAGCGTCACGTCCTCTAGTTGCAACCAGCCTGGTTGCCGCTCGAAGCATAGGTCATATCTAGGGCTTTTTGGTGTCAGCCCCTCACAGTATATCAGTATAAAGAGCTGATGCACGAAATACCCAGAATCTAATCTGAAGTCTTCGGGACTAAGTTGTGTTGGCTTACCTGCTGCATTGCCAAGCCACAACCCAGCTATTACTATTACGTACAGCAGTACCGAAATAAAGAAAAGCCTCAACTGCACATCCGCATTTGTTACTGTTAAGACCGAAATTCATTCACTGCAGATACGATCTGTTTTGGGCCCCAAGTTGCGAACAACTAAACCTGAATAGCGGCTCATAGCGCCTGGTAAAGTTTCAGTACGAATAGCCATTTGCCACCCATACGAAGTATATTCTCGCCCGCTGCCACCGCGGCAGTAGTAGCTTCATCCTTCACCTGGACACCCGGTATACTGATGCGCTTCCACAGGAGCAGCATTATCCGCAGGCATTGATTCCACGACTTCGATGGCCCGTTGAATGAAAGGAAGCTCTTCGGGTTGCCATGCTCCACCGAACTTGAAACCTGCAGGAACTAGACCAAAGTGAGGTCGGTTAAAGGATAACAATTGGCCACTTAATTCACCTCGTCTTCTGCATATTGAGCGGCAAGGTACCTAGGGACCTTATCTGGTTCAGACTCGAAAACCATGGGAGCAGGATCCATCCGGGTGGGTTCCGTAAGATCCGGACTAATTGGAGCAGGCTCAAGCGGGGCAGGATGAATTGGAGCTGGACCAATGGGACCAGGCTCAACGGGCGAAGGGCTAATGGGAGCAGGATCAATGGGAGCAGGGCCAATAGGATCAAGAGGAGCAGGGCTTATTGGAACAGGATCAACTGGAGCACGTCTTATGGGAACGGGCTCAACTGGAGCAGGGCCAATCGGCACAGGAGTGATATAATCAGTTTTCATCGGCGCAGGATCCATCTTAGATGAAGCGGACTCAATAACCAACGGAGCGGGGTCCATAAGTGTGGGCGCAGACTCAAGTTGCATGGGAGCAGGATCCATCTTAGATGAAGCAGCTTCAACAATCACAGCAGCAGGAGCTATCTTTGAGGGAGCAGCCTGAAGAATCAATGGAGCAGGGTCCATATGCGTTGGGGCAGCTTCAAAGACCAATGGAGCAGGGTCCATAAGTGTAGGGGGTGGCTGAACTATGACCGGAGCGGCGGGCATTTTCGATGGGGCAGCTTCGATGATCCTTGGAGGAGCCATCTTAGAAGGGGCAACTTGTACAACTCTAGGAGCAGGAGCCATCTTAGAAGAGGCAACTTCAACGACTCTCGGAGCAGGAGCCATCTTGGAAGAGGCAACTTCAACGACTCTCGGAGCAGGAGCCATCTTGGAAGAGGCAACTTCAACGACTGTTGGAGCAGGTGGTCTTGCAACTGGAGCAGCTCGAACGACCATGGGGGCAGGAGCATGGTCCATCTTTGATGGGGCAGCCTCAACGACGTTTCGCGTGACTGGCTCAGCACGTGCTACCATCATAATTGGAGCAGGCGCAACAGCAGGTGGAGCGTACATCTTGGGAGGAGGAGCAACCTTCATGGGCTGAGCCACATACCTGACCCTCTTTCTCTTCTTGCCAAGACCACGCTCAGTGGCGCTCTCTTCTTCAGCCTCGAAGTGTTCCTCGGCCTCTTCCTCTGCAGCGAGATATCTGCCCTTCTTTGATGGAGCAGCCTCGATGACCATAGGTGCTGCCTTCTTTGTTGGTGCTGCCATTATGATTGGGGCAGGAGCCTTGACAGGTGGAACATACTTCTTGGGAGGAGGAGCAACCTTCACGGGTTGTTCCATATACATCGTCTTCTTCTTCTTGCCAAGACCACGCTCTTCTGCAGTTTCGTACTGCGCAGTCTCATATCAAAGCCAGAGTATGACGTGGAGTTGGAGTAGGAGCCGCCGCTCTATGGAAGGGAAGAAACTACCTCGTCGGAGTTACTAGTATCCTCGTCGGAGTTACTGGTACCCTCGTCGAAAAAAGCATCCTCGACGCATTATGATTGGGGCAGGAGCCTTGGTTGGTGGTGCATACTTTTTGGGAGGAGGAGCAACCTTCACGGGTTGTTCCATATACATCGTCTTCTTCTTCTTTCCAAGACCACGCTCTTCTGCAGTTTCGTACTGTTCAGTCTCAACCTCCTCAGCTTCAAACTGCACCTCAACCTCATCCTCAGCAGCAAGGTACCTGCCCTTCTTTGATGGAGCAGCTTCAATTATCATAGGAGCAGCCTCAACGACCATAGGAGCAGCCTTCTTTGTAGGTGCTGCCATTATGATAGGAGCCGGCGCCTTAATAGGTGGAACGTATTTCTTGGGAGGAGGAGCAACCTTCACGGGTTGTTCCATATACACCGTCGTCTTCTTCTTCTTTCCAAGACCGCGTTCTTCTGCAGTCTCGTACTGCGCAGTCTCAATAGTTTCGGTCTCATACTGCACCTCAACCTCATCCTCAGCAGCAAGGTACCTACCCTTCTTTGATGGAGCAGCTTCAATTATCATAGGAGCAGCCTCAATGACCATGGGAGCAGCTTTTTTCGTAGGAGCTGCCATCATGATTGGGGCAGGAGCCTTGACAGGTGGAACATATTTCTTGGGAGGAGGAGCAACCTTCACGGGTTGTTCCATATACATCGTCGTCTTCTTCTTCTTTCCAAGACCGCGTTCTTCTGCAGTTTCGTACTGCGCAGTCTCAATAGTTTCGGTCTCATACTGCACCTCAACCTCATCCTCAGCAGCAAGGTACCTACCCTTCTTTGATGGTGCAGCCTCAATGATCATAGGAGCAGCCTCAATGACCATGGGAGCAGCTTTTTTCGTAGGAGCTGCCATCATGATTGGGGCAGGAGCCTTGGTAGGTGGTGCATACTTTTTGGGAGGAGGAGCAACCTTCACGGGTTGTTCCATATACATCGTCTTCTTCTTCTTGCCAAGACCACGCTCTAGACGTCAAAGCATGACGCGTCAGAGTTATCAAAGCCAGAGTATGACGTGGAGTTGGAGTAGGAGCCGCCGCTCTATGGAAGGGAAGAAACTACCTCGTCGGAGTTACTAGTATCCTCGTCGGAGTTACTGGTACCCTCGTCGAAAAAAGGTAGGAGCTGCCATCATGATTGGGGCCGGAGCCTTGGTAGGTGGTGCATACTTTTTGGGAGGAGGAGCAACCTTCAGGGGTTGTTCCATGTACATCGTTTTCTTTTTCTTGCCAAGACCACGCTCTTCTGCAGTTTCATATTGCTCAGTATCAATATGCTCGGTCTCGAATGGCACCTCAACCTCATCCTCGGCGGCAAGGTATCTCCCTTTCTTTGATGGAGCAGCCTCAATAATCATGGGTGCAGCTTTCTTTGTTGGTGCAGCCATAATAACTGGAGGAGGAATCTTCTTCACAGGCTCAGCAACATACGTCGTCTTCTTCTTTCCGAGGCCGCGTCCTGCTGCAGTTTCTCCCGCTTGGCTTTCTGCGTAGGCCTCGGCATCTGCATTATCAGCGG